CCCATTCAGCATGATTTGAAAAAACCCTTTTAGTAATCCCTCTGTAGTTACCAAGTTTCACCTCAGCTACAAGCTCACCCCCACCCCCAACACCAAAAACAGAAAAATCCTTAGCCTTAACAACTCTAACATACAAATACTGCATTTGTTCCACCAAGTCATATGTTGAGTTAGTCTTGTCCTTACCACCAAGATGTGGACTTGTTTCTTTCAGAGAAAACTCACCTTGCCCAGAAGTGTACAGACCAACCCCACCACCACCAGTCACAGCCGGAATAATAGGTCCAGGAACACTAGTAATAACAACAGGCTTAATATCACCTGGAACTGACTCCACTGGCTTTGAATGGTTCTGGTTTTGAAAGTTTACCTGTTCATAAAAGTGGTGTTAAAACATGATATAAAAAGTTTAAAAAAAATCAGTTCTTTTTATCTTTAAATGAACACAAAAATTCAAGATAACCTTATTTTCTTGACCCATTTGAACCACCATGTTTGTTCCATTTGTCTGTTGCTGCTGCTTCTGCTGCAATTTCTTGTTTTTCTTAGCATTTGGTGCACCAGAAGACACCACCCCTCCACCACCACCACCAGCATTACCATTATCAGTTATAACTTGTTTCACTTGCTCTGTTGTTGATAAATAAATCTTCAAACTCAACTCACCGCGTACATGAGAAAAAAGACTCCTTTTATCAAGTGTATAAAGCTGCGCTATTTCTTCCCCTTCTTTAGCAATGCTTGACCCAGAAACCCGAGCTCGACCCAGAAAATTTCTGCTTGTGTTTGACCTTTTCTCGTTAAAAACATTCACTTCAATCGTCCGATAAGGAAGATCAGCAGCATCATTCACATGAAACACAAGCTTTTCATTCCAAACAGGGTTTAAATCTCTCATTTTTACTTGTGTTCTTTGTCTCTGATTCTCAAACTCAACTTCTACAAATGGTGACGATGAACCTTCACCATCTTTTGGCATCAAGTTATGAGCTGCCACCACTTCTACAACCAATTTTTCTTTACCATTGTTCATGGTTCTGATGAAAGCCAAAAAAAAAAAACAGAGAGAAAAGTGACAGATAGGAAAAACAGAGGAATAAGATTATACAGCAGTGAAGTGACTATTTAGAGAGAAGCAGAAGAGGGGGTGGGGTGGAGGTGGGGGTAGGAGTGGGGGTTGGGGTAGGGGGTGGGGTGTTTAGATTACAGAGAATGAGACATGGATTTAGTTGCCTTAAATACCAAGAAGCCTTGTTTGTTAATTGGTTCATAATAAGGTGGAACATCAAAAATAATGAGGAGGAAAAAAATAAATATTATTTGCTTTATTTGAAAATTTTAAAATTATATTTTTTTATTTGAAAATATATAATGTATTTTCTTAAATATGATTTGTACTTGTTAATTTCTAAAACTAAGTAAAATTATCTAATTTGATTAATTTATATGAAATATTCAATTAAATTTGCTTTAAAAGTATAATATCTCAAATTAATTTCATATAATTTCAAGAAAAAATCACTTTATCTGGATTGAAGTTGAAGTTTTATTTGATTATAGTTTTTACAAATAATATTTACTTGTTTGAATGTATTCTTCTTTAAAAATATGAAGTACTATGACTTAAAGATGAAATATAATTTTAATTTGAGGTTTTTTTTTTGTAAATATTAAAGGAGAAAAATAAAGAAAGAGAAAATAAAATTTTAGATTCTATTAAATTTCAAATATAACTTTTAAGTTATATTTCAACATTTTACTGGTCAACGTTGTTTGTCAAATAAAATAAATAATTTTCCTAAAATGTTATAATAGTCATTAAGTGGATTATTATAGTAATATGATAAAGACTATTCCAATTTTATTTATTTTTTTGAAAAAAAAAAAACTCAAGATTTTGTAACGTCTATATCAAGAATTATGAAATTACCTTAAGTACCAAAAAAACACTTCCTTGGAAGATGCAATCACAAGCAAATGAAGTTTTTTCTCGATATTTGAATTGGTATAACTTAGGAAATGTTTTGAATATACCAAAAAGTAGTACTATGGTCAAATGTGTGGAGGACAATATGTATACATTTGCTCATATTAAAAATAATTCCGAAAATATGGTTGCTAAATGAAATTTAAGTTTAATTTTATTTGGTAATTAATTTAGAAAAATATTGAATAATAATAAAAAATAGTATTTCCTTTATTTCATATATATTAAGTGATTTTTTAGTTTTTTTTATTGCTCAAAATAATTTAATTGTTCAAATTTCAAGATGAATGTTTGAATATTTCTTTAGTAATTGTCATTTCCTTTAATTTAGCTTTATATTTTATAGGAGATAAATAGCACTTCGTATTAATTATATTTATAATTTACAAAGAACGATGGAAAATATAATTTAAATTATGTTCTTGAATATTTAAAAATATATATAAATAATTTAAAATTGATCAGTTTAACCCTCTATTGTGTTTTTGATTTTATAAACACTTATCATTACGTTAATTTTTTAATATTGCCCTCCAACTATTGAAATAGCATAAAGATGACCTTTTTTTTACAAATAATACTATAAAATAAAATTTAAAAAGTCAATTGTATCCAACTATTCAATATATGACAATTTTACCCTTATTTTCAAAAAATATTTTAGTGTGGGTTGAATGTGAGATGTATCATAGCAGGGGCGGACCCAGTAAGCCAGACGCGGGTGCTCGAGCACCCATTGATTTCCGAATTTTTTTGTATATATATATATATATATAGAAAATATGATACATATGCTATTATAATTTAAATGAGTACCCATAGAACAAAAGCAGTTGTGAGTGAGCTGGTTTAAACCTTTGCAATAAGAGGCGCACAAAGCCACTGGCGAGGGTTTGACTCCTGTCAGTAGCATTTCTTTTTTAAAAAATTTTCCAGCGAATTTTACACCTGTTTTTTTTATTAAAAAATCCTTTTTTCTAATTAAGGGCTTATTTAACTCTTCTTTTTAAAAAAAAAAATTAATTCCAACAAATTTTACAACTTTTTTTAATTTTTTATTTTTCCTTTTTGTAATTAAGGGTTTATTTAACTGCCAATTTTGTACTAGTTTTGACTTTTCATATTCTTGCTTGTTTTGACTTTTCCTATTCTTAGGGCCCGTTTGGATGAGCTTAATAAAAGCAGCTTTAAAAAAGTACTTTTGAAAGTGCTGAAACTTATTTTTAAAATAAGCAGTTATGCGTTTAGATAAAAGTGCTGAAATTGTTATGCCAAACGTGAAAAGGTAAAAATAGAAGAAAGAGATGTTAGGATTATATGGGTAATTTGGAGATTGTATAAAAATATTAAGGGAAAAAACATAAAAACGTGGTCAACTTAAAACAGCTTATAAGCTAAAAAAAAAAAAGCACCCCTATCCCAGCTTTTAACTTTTGGCTTAAAATAAGTTTTTTTTAACTTAAAATAAGCTATTTTGAGTATTGCCAAAAAGTTAAATAAGTCAAAAACTAGCTTTTAAGTCAGTTTGACCAGCTTTTAAGCTGAGCCAAACAGGCTCTTAATTAGTTTAGGTAGCATAATTTTTCTTTCTTTTTTATTTTTAACTTTTCTTATGCTTTAAAACCTTTTGCACTGCCCACTTTTATGGGATTATTTCTCTTAGCAAACTATGAAGTCATTCATTCTTCTTCTTCTTCTTGTTTCAAAGAGAAAACCATCAGCGTAACTGCCCAACAACAAACTTCAACATATTTTCTTTTCAAAATCAGAATAGAAAAGTAAGGTAATAAAATTTGATGATTGATTAAAGTTAGTTAATGAAAAAAAAAAAGAGTTTGAGAAATTACGTTTTAAAATTTACATTGCTTATGGATGGTACTCTTAAGTCTTAATTCTGAAAATAGATTCCACATAATATTTTTGTTACTTGATAAATAGGTTTAGACTTTAGATTAAAAATATATTTTTTGAATACTTTTGAAATAAATATTTTTCTTACCAATTACTTGGTTAAAAATTAAATTTTAGAATGTATACGTATTTGGTGCTCATTAACTCATATATTGCTAATTATTGCTTGTGGTGTTGAAAAATCAAATAGATATATTAATTGTTGATTGTTGTTTGGGTTATCAATAGAAAATTATAGATTTTAATAAAAAATAATTGAATTATGTGAATTAATTATGTGATAATATTTTTTTGTAGGAATTTATCTTTATAAATTGAGATGGATAAGTATGTCACAAGATCGAAAATTGGGTATCCAAGTTCTAGCTCTACCAATCCATCTACTGCTTCAACCATAGCTCCGAAAATTCAAAAAAAAATATTTATTTCAGATGTTGATTTAGAATCTCTTGAAGCTGATCCTGGAATTAGAAAGTCCATTACAGAGTATAATCCTAATATACGTGATGATATTAGGAGATATTATATTCTTAAAAAGCTTTGTCAACCTAAGGATCATAAATTTCCTAAAACTAAGTTTGGGAAGGAAATGCAGCAGTTATTTCCTAATTGGTTTAAGGATCATAAGTGGTTGGAGTATAGCATAATAAAAGATGCTGCATTTTTTTTTTGTGTTGCTACTTGTTTAAGAATGAAAATGAAAGTCGTGGCGAATGGGTTGATGTTGTTTTTTATAAAACCGGGTTTTAAAGCTTGAACAAAACTTCCAAAAATATTTACAGTTCATGTTGGAAAATGAAAATAACAATCCCCAAAAAGTGTTTTCAACAAGATGATTGAATTTGATGGAATCATTCCCAATCAAAACCCCCTTTATTTTGAAAAAAAACCAAAAAAAAAAAAAAGTGAGTCTCGACGTCGCTTGAGTGCTTCAGCTGATGTCACAAGATTTCTCTTGAAAATAGGATTATCATTTCGTGGACATGATGAGAGTCGATCTTTTTCAAATAAAGGTATTTTTCTTGAACTTTTGCAATGGTATGGAGATATTAATAAAGATGTTGGAAGCATTATTTTAAAAAAAGCTCCAAAAAATGAAATGATGTGTTCTCCAAGTATTCAAAAGGATATTGTTGATTCTTGTGCTAAGGAAACAATCAAATCTATTCTTGAAGATTTAGATGGGAATTATTTTGGTATATTAGTCGATGAATCAAAAGATATATCACACAAGGAGCAAATGGCACTTATTTTGAGATATGTTAACAAAGAAGGAGAAGTGATAGAACGATTTGTTGGTATTGTTCATGTTAGTGATACATCTGCTTGTTCATTAAAGGAAGCAATCTATTCTTTTCTTTCAGATCACTCATTAAGTCCATCCCAAATACGTGGGCAAGGTTATGATGGAGCTAGCATTATGCAAGGACATCTAAATGGTCTTAAAACTTTGATTTTGAATGAGACTCCATCAGCATATTGCCTTCATTGTTTTGCATCTGGATAAGTAAGTTTCCCATTGGACCTTCCGTAGTGAACATATGTTGGATATACTCGGTCAATCGGTAGATACGATATCTTTGAACCATCGAACTTTAGTGTATACCTAGACAACCATATGTCACACAATTAACTTTTTACTTTTTATGGTTCTTACGGTAGTATTCGTTTCGGCCATGAACACCTCCTGATTTCATGAGTGTATAGATAATATGTTTTTGACATAAAATTCTCTTTGAAGCGGCTTACACTTCACACTCACATTGGTGATTTCTAACCTTTTCATCTCGTAGATACACTATTTCGTCAGATCTTCCAAACTTAGCAAATCATTAAAAATCTTACACTTTATTAACTCATTAACAAGCCTTAAAGTCTTAACCTTGTTCCTGAACATTGTCTTTATCATAAGAATGGATTGAGTTGATTAACAATGTCAAACCGCTAGTCACAACTTTGTTTTTCTCCTTGAATCTAGCTCTTGGGATCTCCAGTATACTAGATATATTTACCACAATGTTGGCTTATCCTAAGCCGTAAACCCATTTTCTTAGATGATTTTTCAACTCTAACTAGACCTTTTGTTAGTGGATCTGACACATTATCGCTTGACTTCACATAGTCAATTGTGATAATTTCACTAGAGAGCAGTTATCTTACGATATTATATTCTTTGTCGTATATGACGAGACTTACCATTGTATATAACGCTCTCTACCCTACCTATTGCTTCTTAACAATCGCAATGTATGAAAATAGGTCCCACAGGTTTGGCCAAATGAAATATCCTCTAGGAAATTTCGGAGCCATTCAGCTTCTTCACCAGCCTTATCTAAAGCAATAAATTCAGATTCCATTGTGGAGCGAGCGATACATGTCTATTTGGATGATTTCCAAGAGATTGTTCCTCCTCGAAGTGTAAACACATAACCACTTGTGAATTTTACTATATTTGATATGGTGATTCAATTTGCATCACTATATTCTTCAATCACAGCAGGATATTTATTATAATGCAAAACATAGTGTTGCGTATATTTCAGATAACCCAACACACGTTTCATTACCATCCAGTGAGTTTGATTCGGATTACTAGTGAACCGACTCAATTTGCTAATAGCACATGCTATATCTGATCATGTACAATTCATAATATGCATCAAACTTCCCAACACTCTGCATATTCCAATTGAGAGTTACTTTCACCTTCATTCCTTTGAAATGTAAAGCTTAAATCTATTGGAGTTTTAACAATATTGAAATTCAAGTATTTAAACTTATCCAATACTCTTTCAATATAATGAGATTGAGATAATGCTAGTCCTTGATGAGTTTTGAAAATCCTGATCCCTAAGATTAAATCAGCAACTCCTAGGTCCTTCATATGGAACTTGCTGGACAGCATGTGCTTAGTACCAATCTTCAATATTTGTACTCATTATTAACATGTCATCAACATACAGACAAATAATGACATCATGATTCAGAATGTTTTTAATGTAGAGACACTTATCACATTCGTTAATCTTGAATCCATTTGCCAACATTGTTTGGTCAAATTTAGCATGCCATTGTTTGGGTGCTCGCTTGAGCCCATAAAGCAATTTCACAAGTCTGCATACTTTATCTTCCTCACCAGGAACTAAAAATCCTTCAGGTTGTTTCACGTAAATTTCTTCCTCCAGCTCTCCATTTAAGAAGGTTGTCTTTACATCCATTTTGTAGATTTTAAGATCATACATTGTCGCTAGTGCTATTAACATCCTAATTGATGGTATCCTTGTAACTAGAGAGTATGTGTCAAATAGTCCAGACCTTCTTTTTGTTTGTATCCTTTGACTACAAGTCTAGCATTATATTTGTTAATAGTACCACCAACTTTCATTTTCCTTTTAAAGATCCACTTTGATCCTAAAGGTTTATTTCCTGGAGGAAGATCAGTCAATTCCCAAGTATGATTACTTAAAATCGATTTGATCTCACTATTGACAGCTTCTTTTCAATAAGTTGACTCAGATGAAAACATAAATGCTTTAAATGTTTCAGGCTCATTTTCAAGAAACGGCGCCACAAAATTTGGTCCGAAAGAAGTGGGTTTCCATTGGCGAGTTCTAAGCCTAGGATCCTCACTAGGTAGTGTATTTTCCGTTGGTTCTTTCTGTGGTCGTTTATGTCTTTCACTTTTTGACTCACATTCAGTGTTATACGGATAAATGTGTTCAAAGAACTCTGGGTTATCTGACTAAATTATTGTATTAACATGAGTCTCAGTATTATCAGATTTGTGAATCAAAAATCGACAGGCCTTACTGTTCATAGCATATTCAATAGATACACAATATATCGTTTTGGATCCAATTTTCACCTTTTTGGATAAAAGAACCTCTACCTTGGCTAGATACCCTCACACCTTAAAATATTTCAAGTTGGATTTTCTTCCTTCCCACGACTCATATGAAATTAATTATGTTTTCCTAGGGGGTACCCTATTGAGTATCTTATTAACTGTAAGAATGACTTTCCCCCAAAGGTTTTGCGGTGAATAATATCATATTCCAAAACATATCTTTGCAAAAGGAGATTCATATTCTACACCCCTATCACTTCGAATAATTTTTATCTCTATATTCAATTGGTTATCCACTTCATTTTTGTATTGTTTAAATGCATCAATTGTTTCATCCTTACTATTAAGCAAATGTACATAACAAAATCGAGTGTAATCGTCAACAAAATTTATAAAATATTTTTTCCACCACGAGATGTTGTCGACTTCATATCACATATATATATGTGTGAATTAAGTCTAAAGGTTTTGAATTTCTTTCAACAGCCTTGTAGGGATATTTAACAAACTTACTTTTTACACAAATTTCACATTTCAATTTATCGCATTTAAAATCATGCAATACTTCTAAAGTAACCAAATTTTGCAAGTCTTTGTAATTACATTTCCTAAATGGGCATGCCATAAATCATTTGACTCGAATAAGTAAACAGAAGCAAAAATTTTATTAATACTGTCAACAATTATTACATTCAGTTTGAAAAGGCCCTCATTAAGGTAGCCCTAACCTATGAACATCTCATTCTTACTTATCACAACTTTATCATTAACTAGGATACACTTAAATTTGTTTTGAATGAGTAGTGCAACAGAAGCTAAATTCTTCCTAATAGTAGGGAGATGCAGAACACTGTTCAAAGTAAACACCTTGCCGGATTTCATTTGTAACATTACTTTCCCAGTTCCTGCAATCCTTTTTGTTGTTGTGTTTCCCATGAACAAATCTTCATCGTACTCAGCAGGAGTGTATGTTGCAAAGGCTTCTTTTGCAGAGCAAATATGCCGAGTGGAACCTAATTCGAGAAACCACTCCTTGGGAAATTCAACTAAGTTACACTCCGAGATCATTGCACACAAGTCATTTGCATCTTCCATCTCTTCCAAGATGTTTGCTTGACTTTTGCCTTTGCTTTTATCTTTGTCTTTATCCTTTCTTGGAGCACGACACTCGGAAGACTTATGACCAGCCTTACCACAATTGTAACAGTTGCTCATGAATTTATTCTTGGCCTGTTATGACTTCTGTCTGTTGGACTTCTTTCTTTTTTGTCTTTGTTAGGAGCTTCTTAAATAATATTAACTCCAATTATTGTCGAACTCTTACAAGACTTTTTTTAGGTTGTTTTCTTATCTTCCTCAATCTTGAATCGAATCACAAGATCTTCAAGCTTCATTTCCTTATGTTTGTGCTTTAGATAATTCTTGAAGTCATTCCACGAAGGAGGTAACTTCTCGATCATTACAGCCACTTGAAAAGCTTCATTTACTATCATATCTTCAACAATCAGATTATGGAAAATAACTTGAAGTTCCTACACTTGTGATCCAACAGTTTTACTATCTACCATTTTATATTCTAAAACTTTGCGACCACAAATTGTTTCAAGCATGCATCTTCTGTCTTATATTTCATATAAAAGTGCATCTCACAACTCTTTTGAAGTTGTTATTGCACTATAGACATTATATAAATCATCCTCCAAAGCACTCAAAATATAGACATTACATATGAAGTCTGTCTGTTCCCATACTTTAATAATCATGAATTTTCCTAGGTTTGACATTTCAGCAGCAGACACTGGAGTTTCTTCGCTGGTAAATTTTTGCAGACCAAGAGTGGTAAGCCAGAAAAATACCCGTTGCTGCCATCCTTCGAAATTTACACCAGAAAATTTTACCTAATTTCTCTTCTTGTGGTACAACAGTTCAGGTTGGTGCAACAACAGCCACTGTAACATTGTTGTTCTTTTTTCATTTCTGAAAATAAAAATTGATACAATCTTAGTAAGCAATAACTTAAAATTGCAGACTTAAAGGAGTATAAAACCATGAAGGTTTTTGTCTCCACCAGAAACACAGATTAAAAATAAAATAAAAATATAATTTCCTTAAGATTGTTCTAAATCTGTGTTTGAAAAAAAATAGAATTACTGATTCTGACAAAACTTTGTAGAAACAGGAAGTAACCAAAGTTTACTGGATCCATACAAAAGATGAACAGAAATTAGTTCAGAAAAACAGAAATCTGTAATGTACCAGAATCTGAAAATTTTGAACACAAAAATATCAAGTCCACTGAATTCACAGTGTCACCTTAAGGACATTATTCCCCTCTAGTATCCGAGGTTTGATTTGTAATATCTCCTCCCAGGATAAAATAATCTCAACGTCAGTAAAGTACACGAAGAAATTTTTGTGCAAAAGAAGAAGAAATCAGAAAAATTCATTAGGAAAAATTCTGAAGAATAAATGGTATTTATAGGCAAGAGGAATAGGTTCCGAAATGTTGCAACCATGTATTGGGAAGAGATTATATTTCCGTTCCTAATTCTATATGTTACAGTGAAGGTACAAAATCTAGTCCTTAAAGAAATTACAATCTTGTCTCAAATTCTAAATATGGAGGTGAGAAGCGGAAAAAATTGAATTTTAAATCTTAA